CATGGCCAGCTTCCTTACTTGCCTCAGATATTTGTTCAAAATCTTATCTTCTGAGGCCTTAGTGATAGTCCTATCTAAAATGTCAATTACCACTCTAACATTTTATATCCTCTTCCCTGCTTTGTTTTGTCTCCTTGGTACTTATCATTATTTAGAAAACTATGTTTCTTATTTATCAGGTGTGATTCACCCATTGATTCACATACTAAGATGGTAGTAGGAATGTAAACTGGCCAACTGGAAAACTTTGGGGACAGCATCCACTGATGATGAGCTTTTATGTGTTATCCAGCTATGGCACTATTGTTTTTTTAAAGATTTATTTATTTACACATACAAGAACTGGGGTGCGGGGCAAGGGGGTGAGAGGATTCACCAGAGGCAGAGTAGGAAACTTCTAAAGTTACCTGTCACTGCTAGAAGATTCACACCTGTTGTTTATGGTCGCACTCTTTGTCAGTAGCCCAGGACAACCCCAAATGGCCAGCAACAGTTGGATGAATCAATGAGTGGTGGAATATTCACACGAGGGAATACTATACAGCAATGAAAATGAACAAGCAATTGCAGCAATAGTAATGGAGACAAAGCTCATATAGTGTTCAAAGAAATTGGACACAATAGTGTGTATATCTCATGAATCCACATATGAAAGTTCAGAAACATCAAGCTGAATCTCAGGTACAAGTAGTCAGGAGAGTGGGTACCTTTGGAGGGTATTTTGGTATTCTAAGAAGAGCTCAGGAAGCCTCCAAGTGGCAGATCATGGGTAATTCTCCATCTGGATGCTAAAGGCAGTATTTACTTATGAAATTTTATGTTGTGTGCATTTTTATGTTTTACTTCAATTTAAAAACTCCAGATTCAATCACACTATACCTTGAGGCTCTATTGATGAGATTTTATGGTTGCTATTGCAACCTTTATAGATGTATCTTTATATATCTATGGTTAAACACCTAATAATGAAACTGTTGTATCAAAATGGCTCAGTTTTCAATTTGTATAGATGCACTTTAATTACTCATCACAACTGTATTAGTTTACAACATTGTTCTCTTACAGCCACTGAGTAATCCTTTGAAACATCAGATTTTATCATTCCAGGGCTCACAACAATTTTCTTCAGAGTAAAACCTTGAATCTTTCCGGTGGTTCCCTACGCTGGCCTGATGCAGCCACAAGGCTTCACGAGTGTGAAGACTGGATGGTCATAGCAGGAATATGTATGCTCAGCTTTGTGAAACCTCCTGCACTGTCTCCCAGTGACTGTAACACTTTGCATTTCCAGAAGTGGATGAGAGTTCCTGTTACTCCACATCTTTGTCAGTATTTGGTGCTGTTGGTATTCTGGATTCTCACCATTTTAATAGGTGGGTGGTAATATCTCACTTTAATTTGCATTTCCTGGATGACATGATAAAGAGCTTGTTTTTATATGCTCATTTGCCATGTGTAGATATTCTTTGGTGAGATGACTGTTGAGATGTTTGGCCTATTTTAAAATTAGGTTGTTTATTTGCTTATTGTAAGTTTTAAGATTTCTTTGTATACTTTGGATAACATCGCTTGTCAGATGTGTCTTTTGCAAATATTTCCTCTAGACTGTGGTTTGTCTTTTCACTTGCTTGACATTATCTTTTGCAGAGCAGAAGTTTTTATTTTAATGAAAACCAGCTTCTCCCTTATTTCTTTCATGGCTCACTCCTTTGGGGTTTTATCTAAAATATCACCGCCATACCTAAGGTCATCTAGATTTTCTTCTGTTATTTCCTGGTTTATTATTTTACATTAAGGTCTATGATCCATTTGGAGTTAATTTGTGTGAGGGATATGGTTTGTGCTAGATTCACTTTTTCCCTTTGCATGGGGCTGTTCAGTTATTCCAGCATCATTTGCCGAAAAGCCTGACTCTGCTTGGTTGTCTTGCCTTTGCTCCTGTGTCAAAGGTTAGTTGACTGTTACCATGTGCATTGACTTCTGGGTTGTCTGTTCCACAGGTCTCCTTGTCTAGTCTCTCTGCCAATGCCACACTGGCACTGATTAATACAGCTTTTTATTACTTAATATCAGCTGTGTCGGTCCTCCAATTTTTTTTTTTCTATTATTGCATTGGATAGTCTGGATTTTCTTGCCTATCCAAATAAACTTTTGTCAGTATTTATAAAGTAACTTTCTGGGTTTTCCACTGGGATTACATTAAATCTGATCAAGTGGGGAGGAACCAGCATCTTGACAATAGTGAGCCTTCCCATCCACACACATGGCCTATCTCCCAATGTATTTAGTTTTAAAATTTCTTTCATCAAAGTTTCCTTGTACACATTCTGTACATGCTCTATTTATACTGAAGTACTTCATTTTGGGGGTGCTAAAGTAAATACTTTATTATTAATTTCAAGTTCTACTTGCTCACTGATGGGAAACAGGAAAGAGTTAGCATTTGTATATTATCCAGGCTCTTGAAATCTTGTTATAATCATTTAATAGTTCTAGGATTTTTCTCTCTCATCTTTTCTGCACTGACAATGTCACATATGGACAAATATAGCTTCATTTCTTCCTTCCTAATCAGGGTGCCTTTTATTTCCCCCTCTTGTCTTACTGCATTAGCAAGAATTTCCAGCACAGTATTGAAAAGTGAGAGGGGCACTTTTGCCCTGTACCTGACATTATGAAAGCTTTCGGTAAGTTAAGGGGAATGGGTCCTCTCAACCCGTGTCAGTGCCCACCAGGGGATACTCATGGCAGAAGCTGCTGAACAGTCAGCTGGAAAGAATGACTTGCCGGTAAATGTCCACCAGCCTTGGTCCTCACTACTTCAGTACTTGCACGATAAATGAAGTAATTCTGCTGGCGGGATGGAAGCTGTGCCTGGGTCCCGTGGTATAAAAGTGGCTCACTGAACTGTTGATGAATGTCCAAATGTTAGCAGCAGAAATTTTACTGAGCCCTTGATACACCGCTACCATTCTAGAACAGTTTCGTGTTACCAGGATTATATGGGGCCTCTTCCACGTTGGAAGAAGCAACAATTCTTTATTAGAACTGATGTGCATTTCAAGCATGGGTTTTCCCTGATCTGTCCAATAAGCTTCTCTTCTTTTTTTTTTTTTTCATAAATAGATGCGAGCAGGAATGTAGTCCCTCACGACCATAAATTATGCAGTTGAGTTTTCCACATTTGGGGAAACCTCAGGGGTCGGCATAACCAGAGTGCAGTGGGGGTAACCTCACCCTGGGAAAACCAGATTCTCCATCCTGTATCTTCCCTATCAGGTTAAGTGTTGCCAGTACATATATCTGAGGGCTCATAGGGATCCTGACTAGTATCATCCCAAAGGTGGTAGCCTCTTACTCCCCTGAGAGAGGGGGTCTGGTGGATCTTGTTAGGAAAGCAATGCTGACCAGCAAAAATGCTGGCTGAGGTGAGGGAAAATCTAGAATTAGCAGTGTCTTGGGGTCCCCAGTAGGAGTGTGCCTCCCATTGTCTTAATTCCTTAGTATCCCACAGGAGTTTCTCGAATCACTCTCAAACTCCAAGCACTGAGTCCTGGGGTCCTCATGTGGGAGACTCCAGGTACGCCCTTCACAGCAGGGTTAGCATGAGGCCCCTGACACGCACTGGCTGAAACCCTGGTATGCTTCTCTCACTGTTAAAAGACAAGGGAGTTTAACATGTCTTTTGCAGCAACTTGGATGGAGCTGGAAAAGATCATGCTTAGTGAGATAAGTCAGAAAGAAAAAGAAAAATACCGGATGGTTTCACTCATAGCAGGAGTATAATGGACCAGGCGAGAAAATAACAAAAATAATGAACAACCATATACCAGAGACATTTTGTGGGGGCGGAGTGGGGAATGGGATCAAAAATGGGGGGGGGGGAAGGGAGGGAAATGCACGGGACTATGGTGGTGGCACAGGGGTGATTTGGTGATGGGAAACCCGCGGGGATTATAATTGAGATGGAAAAAAAAAATAAACTTTGAAAAAAAAAAAAGCATCACGTTAGGTCCTGAAGCAGTCTTAAAAAATAAATAACAGTCCTTGCCTTCTAAGACAAAAAAAAAAAAAAAAAAAAAAGACAAGGGAGTTTGGTCTGCTATGATTTCTTGCTAGGGAGACACTGGCTGACTCTTGGTGATTAGAGCTTCTTTTCTAATTGCTTGTGAAAATCTATTTAATAAGCTACTAATTCAATAGTAGGCTCACTGTTATGTATTTAAAAAAAAATATGAAGGATTTTCTGAGACAGGAAGGGTCCATGACAGAGACAGAGGGCTAGGGCTCATGGGTAGCACTTTGCTGTCCCATCATTTTTACTGGGCTGGTAAATAAGAGGTTAAATAAATCTGACTCTAGGCCCAGGTACCTGCTGCCATAACTTTTCTTCACCCGTGGTGTTTTGTACTAATCCTCCCCCTCCCCCCAAGCCCATGTATTCCTGTGCTATTTCTTTATAGCTTATCAAGTTAGCCTGTCAAAGGAGGAAGCAACAGACCTGAGACCTGACCAGGTCGGGCACATGGTCTCCATGAGACACCCCCTACCTCCCCAGATGGTCATGAGCCTGTACCCCATTGAGCTGCAGCTGAGGGGGCTCTCGCTTAGCACCAAGATGGACCACACCCAGACAGACCACTGGACTTTAGCCAAGTCCATGCTCCTTGTTTTCTGGGCCAATAAAGTTTAATTCCCTTGTTCTCAAACTCCACCAAGACCCAGAGCTCTGGCAACTCAGCCGCTAAAGCCAGAGACGTCCCCCAGGGGCTCTTTCTGGCTCTATGAAAGTGGGCTAAATTATGTGGTTTAAATACTATTGTCTAAATCCTACTGTTCTACATAAGTACCAATAATACTCTGCTGAGATGGGTTGATCTCTAAAAGACTTACTCATGTGACAGACATCATGTTTCTAATGGCAAAGCTTTAGAACAGAAGGATTTACCAATGAGCAGAAGGACACCGTTAACACCAAATGTTTACTATCTACTATATATGAACTCACCCATGTATGTGAACATTCCTCTGGGCCCTTTTTAATTGACCAGAGTGGTGAAAACAAATAGCAAAGAAGTCATCAGCTAGGGTTATAATTCAATATAGAACATGTTTTCCTTGCAGAGTTACATAAGACACAGGTGCTCAGAAACATTTATTTGCCATAGATTCAACATGCCCATATATAATAAAAAATAAGCACTTAAATGCTAACAGGAGAAATAACAGACATCCTTTATGCTTTACTTTTGTCCACAAAAGGTGTCAGTCATAGTTTAGAGAGGCCAAAGCTCTGTGGCAAGGACCACATGCCCAGACTGTCTACCCAGCTTAGCACACTGATGGTGCCGCCGGGGTGGGGCCCCCATTCTAGACACCTGAAACAGACAGACTGGAAAGGGTTCCTTTGACAGTTAATTGAGATAAATCTTGAGTCTATTTGAAAAATAAAAACTTAAACCTCATGCATGAAGACATGAATTAAAAACACAATATACAGTGATGAAACTGGAACACAAAATGGATTTGTCCGTGAAAGAATCCTCATGTTGACTGATGCCAGCGATTATTATGTTTGTTTAATCTTAGTGGGTCATAGTTAGATTTTAAAGTTTCAGAAATATTGCTGAAGGTTTACTGAACTGGAACACTGTACATAGAATATTTAAAAATTGCTATTAAAGACACTAAGTTGAAATTCTGATCAGGAATAGAGGTTTCCCAAAGTATCTCCCTCCTTCCCTATGAACAGCAAACAAAGTAAAGTTCAGGGAGAAGAATAATTAAATGTCTAAGAATGCTAGTCATTTAATCAAGAGTGCAGTTTCTGAATTTTATAGAAGATCCTGGTCCGTAATAATGGAACAGGTTTCTGGACAGTATCACATTTGCACTAAGGAAACATGGGGTCTGTCCGGAACCCTCCGTGAATGCTCTTGAAGGACACAGCTGATGCGTGACCTCAGGAGGAGCGGCAGTGAAGAAGGCAATGCGGAGCCTGCTGGCTTACTGGACCTCCCCTTCTCTGATTCAGGGCATGTTGGCTTATTGCCCCCCCCGCCCCCCATTCATTCACGGGTTAAAGACTGTCTTCTGTGTTCTTTTGTGAGGAAATTATCTTAGTCTTTATCATTTTTTCCTTCGATATTTTAACATGACTACAAAAAAATCCCAACAAATTCAAGGATAATATTGAAAGCTTGAATGAAAATAATGAACCTTATCCTCCAGCCAGTCAAGTCTCCTCTGGGAATCAAATCTTCCCTGTGTAAGTGGAGTGAGCGCTCCTGGCAGCCAGCATTCATTCAGGGGGTGACATTCTGCTTTTGAGAGTAGGAACAGCTACTTTATAAATCACATGTTACAAGTAACTGCCTGCAGTCTGAGGCACTTGCTGCTTCACGGATTTTATTTATCCATAGGATTTTGTTGTGTTGCACAGCTGCAAATATAATGCTTAATATCTAACGATTTATCCATAATCACTCAGGGAAAAGCAGAAAATATGGAAATAGAATCAAACCCTCCTGAAATGCCGTTATTACAGATGCATAAAAATAAACTATAACCGAAAGTTGAATCTGAGAACTGGTAACTGAGTTTTGTTGAATACAATAAGTCTTAGAAAGAATGCTCTTATTGAAGATGTCATTAAAAAGAATATTCTGGAAAGTAACACGTGAAGGTTATTGTAAGTTCAGTACTTTCTTAACTACAGAAGTACAGCATGGATCTGACTTCTCCACCAGAAATACAGACTGGCGGCAAGCTGTGCTACAAAAAGTGTCCAGCCTACCTGCAGGACAAGGCATTTGTGTGAAGCAGAGGAACTTAAGGGAATCCTCGTGTTCACCTAATTCTCCTTAAAATTAATAACAGTGTCGCCTGTAACAGATGGTATTCACATTTTCAGTAAATGAATACTCTTTTGATGATCAGATAAGAGACAATTAATTTAGGTTTTATCTTAAAAATAGGGCTTATAATAACTGTCTTTAATAACTGTATTTAGCATGCACCCTGGGGAATGCACAAGAATAGTTCTTTAATATTTATGAAAAAGGCAGTCTTTATGCCAGTGGGCAATAAAGATTCTTCTTTCCACTCTAAAAATCTCCTCTTTGCTACAAAGAGTCTCACTGCATAGGAATTAAGATGGGGGCAGTTGGCAAGAGGGGCTGAGGCTACTGGCCAGAGTCAGTGTTTTCTTCTCAATTAGGCAAGGGAAAATAGGAACGCTAGTTCTAAATATTAGAAGCAAAGTCTAAATATTAGAAAAATAAAGAGTGAATATAACAAACTGCTTCAAAATACATGCCTGAGATTGAGAAACAGCTTATATTTCATGTTGGGGCAGCTTCCAGGTGAAATCAACATTTTTAATCTTCAGGTTCATACCTGGAAGACAGAAATTTAGAGAACAATGTCATGATACTTATTTTTTTTTAATAGAGATTTATTTATTTGTGCATACAGAACTGGGGTACAGGCCAAAGGTGCAGGGGTGGTGAGAGGATTCACCAGAGACAGAGTGGGGAGCAGAACAGGCCAACTGACGAAGTACACTGCTGAGGGGAGCAGTGGGCGGGTCAGGAGAGGTCTGCTGCGCCATGTGGATCACTTCTAGGGCAGGCGGGGATCGAACTCATGTGCAAGTGGCTTTAGCTTCTTAGTGTTATGCTTTATCTGCTGTGCCACCAGGGAGGACCCATGATACTTTTTGTTGTGCTGCTACCAGTGAATTTTACCTAAAACACCTCCAGTGACTTAGCTATTAATGTTGACCATTTCACTTAAAACCACTGCTACTGTGGAAGTCAGACACTTTCAGGGTGTGTGCTGGTGACCCTGAAAGGGTCCCTGCAGCAGGTGGGAGAGTGGCCAGGACAGAGTGGGGACCTTCAGACCATGTCTATAGCAGGCATTTAGCTCCATGATAGCTTACTGAAGAAATTCAGTAATTACCCAGAGGATCCGGCTGCCACAAATACCTTATATATGAATAAAGAGTTAACAAACTCACTTTTCTACAGATAAATTCAATAATGATCCTAGGTCTATTTGAGAACCCTGATGAAGGCCTGTCAAGATAGTTCCCAGGCAAAAACTGATGACAAACATGACTCTGATGGAGAGACTAGATCTGTATCAGGAAGACTTAAAAAACTGTAACGATGTGGTGGGAGCAATGGCTGTAGGCTTCCTCTGGGCAGTGAGTTCTTGTAACTGGCCATGTCCTTCTGTGGGCAGTATGTGGCCACAGAGAGATGCTATACAGGCATCAGGGCTTCTAGGCCACACTGGCCACAGCACTCGTCTGTGTGGATCTAGTTCTCTCAACCTGAAGGCACAGTCTGACCCTTGACCAGGTGTTGAAATACTTTCAAGTTTCCTGTGATTCACATCTGACATGTGTTAAGTAAACCCTTTGCCCGGAGAAGCCTATTGTAGTTACGTGCAGCTGAACCTAACAAGAAGCCCCGCGGGTGTTGCCAACGAGGCCAGGCAAGTGCGCCCCTGCTTCCTGTGGATGTGGGCTTCTGGACATGACAGAGTCACCACCTGCCGGCCTGACCTCTCCGGACACACGCTTATTTAGCTTTAATGGGAAACAAACACCAGCCCAGTGGGGAGACAAAGCCGAGAGGCATGACCAGCATGGCTTACTTGGCCAGTCTTTTCCTCAGGTCTTTGATTTGGTCATTCTTCTTGGTAAGAATCTCTTTCATGTTTCGGTAAGCTGCTGTTTGTTGGAATTTCTTCTCTAATTCCTACGTAGTGAAAACAGTGAGCCCATTACTAATAGTTAAGGAAAGAACAATTTTGATGAAAATGTCTATTTCTTCTCTAATTTTATTAATATTCTGCTTAAATTTTCTAACTTTTAAAAATCTACTTCCAAAAAAAATCAAGACTATCAAAAAATATTCATTCAAATGAGAAGCCAATAAAACAGCAACATTTTCCCAAGTAAAATGTCAGCAAATAACTCTGATATACTATGCCTTAGATACAGGAAAACTACTTGAAATAGTAAACTGATTTTTTTTTTTAAAGATTTATTTATTTGTGCATACAGAACTGGGGTACAGGCCAAAGGCTCAGGGGCGGTGAGAGGCTTCACCAGAGACAGAGCGGGGAACAGAACAGGCAGATCGAGGAAGTACACTGCTGAGGGGAGCAGCGGGCGGGCCAGGAGAGGTCTGCCACACCATGTGGTCACCTCCGGGGCAGGCGGGAATCGAACTCATGCGGAAGTGGCCTCAGATTCTCAATGCTGTGCTTTAATCCCTGCGCCAAAAGGGAGGGCCCAGTAAACTGATTTTTAGGTACAATAAGCACATACTTTTCCCCAAATTCCAAGTAGTATTTCTTTGAAAAAGATTTTTAAATTTTAGCTCCAAGTTCTTAAGATTCTAATCCCCAAAGCAAGAACTCAGTTTTCACATACTTTATATAAAAACAAGGCATATGATACTTTAAGAAAAAGCCACCTACCCTCCCCCAGGTTGGAGGAGAGACAAGCAGAGCAAATGGGGTGCAGGGCAGCGGGTGTGAACCACCCATGGAGGGGTACTGTACCACAGTCAGGAAGGAGGGGGGTTTTGTTTTGTTAGTGATCACAGAAAATTCAGTTCCCACAATGGAAGAATCTGGTGCCCAGAAATGATAAGTCCTTCTGACATACACCTTGAGAGAAGGTAAGGGGAACCTGCATTTCCCTCAGTTACACCTGCTCCCTTCATGGTTTATTCCGTAACAGGCAGGAACGCACAAGTCTGACCTTCTCAGCCATGCTCAGCTGCTCCTGAACCCTGAGTAGGTCGTGCTTAGCTGTCGCTAGGTTCTCCTCCAGGGACTTCTGGTTTTGTGTCGTGTCATTCAGTGTCTTCTGAAACTCACTCTTTAGAGCAGCAACTGTATTTTCCAAGTCATTGAAGTCTTGAGTGTGTGCAAAATCCTATGAGAAACATAGTGTCAACATCATTTAATGCTGACATCACGAGTAGTACTGCTTGAGCACGGTGACGCGGTGTTACGGGTAGTAAGTGCAAATGCCGCCTGTGGGTGTGCACCTCGGTCACCCCACCAGCCTGGGGAGCACCAGGGCATCGCTGCTGGCCACATTCCCAGGGTCCCTCAGCTCTCGTCGCGGGGTGCCCTGCACATGGCAGACACTAGTGAGCTTATGAACTGCTAGAGATGACACCCTAAATTCCACCAGGCTGTGTGACCCAGAGTTGGGATGGCAAATGGGTTTCATTTTAAAAAGTCAAGTTAAAAAAAAAAGTCTGGTAGGGAATTCTGAACGATAAAAGTAGTAAAATTATTGGGCTGTCAGGAAACTCAGGATGTACTTTTCTCTGAAAAACAGAAAACAATACATAGTGACTTTTCTGACAACAAAATAAAACAGTTTATATCCAACAGTTTGTAGACATGGCTCTCCTCTGGCTTTTCCTAGACAAGCACCAGGACAATAGGCTGGCCCCGCCAGGAGCGGCAGGGAGAGCACAGCGAATAGTAGTTAAGACTTGATATTAAGTCTTTAACTTTATTCTATTTAGAAAAGGAAAAAAGATAGTGAAAACTTCTTGCACCTTTGGGTTTTCTTGATCAAGCTGTAAGTCCCGCAGCGCTTTTTCTAGCCTTGACTTCTCAGCCAGTGCACCGGTCGCCTATGGTCAAGTGTAAGCAAAACATTCAGTATTCATAGTCTGCAAGACACTCTTTCAATGTTTTGCTCAAGTATTCCTCGGTTACCTGTATTTCAATGGTCTTCAGCCTTGACTTCAACTTCTCATTCTCTTCTTGAAGTCTTGAAATTTCCTTTGTGAGTAAATTCAGGTTTCATTAACACACAAATATTCTTAACACTTGAAAACATTTCACTTAAACTTTTAGTCTTAAAACCTAACTCACACAGTTGCTAAGTTAACTCACACAGTTGGACACAACGCACGCTGTTGTGTCCAAGAGCCTGTTCTCACTGCCCGCACTACCTCCAAGCGTCATGTGTCTGCTGGTACCCCAAGGCACCTGTGGTGCACAGATTAGGACCATCCTGCCAGTTTCTAGAACGTCAGTTTTCCCTTCCAGGAAGACCACCTGGTTTTCGAGGGAAGAAGGCCAGATACTATCCTGCTTTTAACCTAAAATGATGTAGCACCATGTTGAGAATTACAGGAGTCATGAAAAAAAGTCTGATTGTTGGTAATTAAGTCTTACAAACTTCATAATAAAAAATCCCTTCAGTGTTGCCATAGATCATAAACTTCAACTGTCTACCACAAGCCCTGTCCCACCCACCCTGCTCTTCACTGGGAAAAGGTGTAACCGGGTGGCTTCAGACCTTCCTCTGGCCCATCTGGGATCATAAAGTGAAGCCCCTGGGGTGGACACTTACCTCAGGGGCCCAAAGCCTGAATCAACCTCCCCTTGCCTCATTTTCTCTACCTCCGAAAGTGCAAGGGGTGAGGACAGAGTAAGAGGGTTCGCCATTTCTCAAAATGGTAACATACCTTGTTTAGGAGTTCTGCTGTGCCACTTTCATTAAGTGGAGCAAGTTTTGGCTTTATGACATCTATGATCGGCTGAAATGAAACATAAGTCAAAGTGAAATCGCAACAGAATAAATCATGGGTGGTCATTGAGCTTTCTAAGTAGAAGACACCATAGATACATATACTGGGATGTCAGTGCTACAAGTGCAGGGATTTTTGATGGTTTGGTTCTCTGCTATCTCCCAGTGCCCAGGAGAGTGCCTGGCCCACAGTGCTCAGTACAAGCTAGAGATAAAAGCGAACGCTGTGCTCCCCATATCTTTTAAAAGCTAATATAGGGCTCTTCCTGGTGGTGCAATGGGTTAGGACGCAGCACTGCAAGCTGGCTATAGCTGCTTCAGTGAGAGTTCAATCTCCCACCCTGGAGGTGGCCCACATGGTGGGGCAGACCTCTCTTGACCCGCCTGCTGCTCCCCTCAGCAGAGTTCTTCATCCATCTGCCTGTTCTGTTCCCCACTCTGGGGAATCCTCTCACCATCCCCTCTGGCTTGTACCCCAGTTCTGTATGTATAAATAAATAAATAAATAAATAAATAAATATATATAAGAGTTCTTAAAAAAAAACAAACTAGTATAGATGAGAGGGGAAGGAGGGTAGGGAGCAGGAACAGGAGACTATCAAAGTCAGAACAAGTACAGATGCTAGGGGCTGGGATTTTCAACCTGTGGGAGCTGAAAGAGAGATTTCTGCATGGACCCCAGACACTGAGAAAGATTGTAGTATTGAAGAGGATCCTTTTAGGCAACTGCATTACAGGTGGCCCAAATGTTCTGGCAGTTTTTAAAAGAGTCTACATCCTCTGACTCCAAAATTTCTTAGCCAGAACTAAATCTCAAAGAAATCACTGAAAAATTGATCGGTATGTCCAGACACATGGATTGATTTCAGTGGTATTTATAGGCAACACCAGGGGCTATTGGTGATTCATCTAGACAATGTAATGGTAAATGGTGACTGTAAATAGCGAGAATGATTGAAAAGAAAAGTAGGTAACTATTACTACTGTCTCCATTTGAGAGGCGGGGAAAATGAGGCACAGCCGTTTCTCAGGTGACTAGAGGGAGTAATGAGGTGTGTGCTGTAACCAGATGATGGCAGCGCACAGACACAAACACACGTGTGTAAGTGTTTGAGATACATTATTGTAGAGTTACTTGCAAAACTCTTCTCTCTTACCTGAAAGTCTAAAAGCAATTTTCCAATTGTGCTCTCAAGTCAAAATGCTTTTCCTTGAGAGTTTTCACTTTAACTTCTGCATGCTGAGTGGCTTGAGGATTTTAAATACTGGGCATTAAGATAGGGACTTAGAATGACCAACAATTACCTTTTTATTTGAAGATGTAAATTCTGCTTTTTCAAATTCTGCAACTTGATCTAATAATTCTCTTGAAAATAAAAGCAAATATGAAAAAATATTATTTAACTAGATTTGCTTTATCTACAAAAATAAAACCACTGGTATGAAGCTGTTATTACATGCCAACGAGAACAGAGCAAGTGGACAAAACTTGACCATATAAAAAACACATTCAGCTAACTAATGGTCAAAAACAAACCACCTGGACTCAAATGTGAATCCTCCACAGCACCCTGTATTTTGCACTACTGGGTGTAAAGTTACTATCAGCAGTCGACAATGCTAGAACTAAACCGCAAGATTAATATTTATGCCAAATTTTCATTTTTGAAGTTCGGTTGGGAGATTGTTGTATTTCATAATATACACTGGCAGTCAGTAGACGGTCAAGATAGACAAACCTGATTTATCTTTTGTTTTACTTATTTTTGACTTTGAAAAAATGATTTTATCTCTTATTGAGGTAACATTGGTTTATAACATTTGATTTACAGGGTCCACACCTCTTCAGATGTATCACAGCCAATATCCAAACACCAATAATTCACCACTACAGTCCAAAGAAAACGGATTTTAACAGAAGTGCCGCAGAAAAATGGGATTTGTTACTTTCTACTGAAAAAGAGTATCACATTCAATAAAAAAGAGTTTGATATATTCTCAATAAGGACAGATGGTTTACTTATTTTCTTTTATTTGCAAAGGTAATGAAAGATGTTTATGCAGAAGCTTAAGAGAATCTTTGACTACTCTTCTCAGCTTCTTAGTAAGTCAGTTTCACAAAGCTTTCTCCCCAGTTGATGAAGTCAAACGTTTCCTTCCTTACTGACGGGTCACCCCCAGTGTGACTGAACACACCGGGGAGCTGATGGGCTGAGGCTGTGTTTAAAGACCCGGGGAGCTGGTGGTCAGACCTGCCTCGGTTCTAGTATTCCTTTCCTTAGAATGAATTTCCATTTCACCAACTTTACTATACTTTCTGGAATTAATGAGCTCTTTGATACTGTTCAGTAACAAGATGTTCTATTGCCACCCAACCCAGATATTCTCTTCTGCCAGCCCCCACAAAAGATGCCACAAAGCCACACATTAACTTTTAAAGCATGTTTGGGCCTCTACTGTCATAGATGTGGGTGCAGATTTCGTACCTGTTTTCAAGTTCAGAGATGTCTGTCTGCAGCTTGAGGTACCACTTCTCAGCCTGCGCGAAAAGCTGCTGCAGGAGTAACACGTTGGTGTAGGCTGTGTTGATGAGCTCAGACTCCACTTCACTGTGGACCACGGCCTGTAACCCATTCAGCACCTCAGAGACTTCATCGATGGTGAAGGTCTCCTCCACCAGCCTGAAAGACAGCCCCGATCCAAACCCTCTGCATTACCAGCATGAGCTCCTTGGAAACAAAACTAAAAAACCCACACATGTCGTCCAAGGGATGAGAGGGCTACTGGTGGAAATCTCTCTGGGAGCTTGCTTTATTAATAAAACAGTCTGAAAATAATGTTAGCTCAACTAATCTTTGATATCTAGTCAAACAATACAACTGTGGCTTATTCTTCAAATTACGCACATCCTTTAACACAAGTAACATGTATCAGAAGCATTTTCTGGCTGCCCTTTCCTTCAATTTTTCAGTTATAATTTTTTTTACTTTAATTTACCTGAAGTGGTCTCATCACATTTAGCAATTTCAAAAGTCACCTGAGAGGTGTAATTTCTCCCTTATTTCTATTATTTTGGTAGCATCTGAAGAATTTCTTAAACTAGTCATGTGAGTAAATACCTATGAACCAATGAACAGTACTTATATATTGCTTCTCTTAGCACTCTTGAGACCCCAAAGGGGAAAAAATACATATCTTAAAAGCTCTCTTGCTCACTGAACACTCAATTAAAAAAGAAAGAAAGAAAATCATCAATTCATCAATTATGGTATTAAAAACTGACTCTCACAGAGAGGAAGTGTGGGTTGGGAGTGAACTTCGGACCAGCCCTCATCCTCTCACTTTACAGAAGGGAACAGAGTGGACTGACGTATCCACGCCCCGTTGGGTGTGATTCAACCCCATAATCATTTCCAGAACTCTCCACACAAGTCCAACAGCTGACTCCTTGAGAAACCACTGCAGGGTCCTTACCCCTCAGACCTCAGCTAATGCAGAGCTATGGCTCAACTTCAGATTCATGTTCTTTTTTACCTCCAAAGGGACATAATGAAGGGAGTTGCACCCGAGTTCTACAATAGTTACTCAAGCTAACAGTATTTGATTTACCATTCATTCTTTTTGATGAAAAATTTAGCCCTTCTTAAAAACCCAAAATTTTATTTTGTTAAAAGTCCTTAGTGAACGTATTAACAATGTTTCTCTAGTCTTTAACAGAGCATATCAAATGTGCTTAAATCTCTCTTTTGGAAGCCCTGCCTCCTTATTAGAACCAGCAATGAAGGTACTGGCTGCCCAGTGAGCAATGAAGGACCTTCTCTGGTGCGCTCACCCTCTGCAATTAAACTGCTGCTCACATCTGCTGGTGTCAGGAAGCCAGATGATCAGATTGGGGGTTAGAGGGACATCGCCTACACTGATGGCCTCTGCTACAGAGCCAAGTTCATGGCTTTATAACAGTTGACGTTGCTTGGAAGCCGTTTTCATTTACATCTTACTTGACACTTGAGTGGCCAAAATCTGATACCCAAGTTACCTGTCTCATTATTTAGCCCTTTTCTTTGGTTTTCTTATTATCTCTAGATCAAACATATATTAACTACAGACTTCAGTTATCTTCCATTATTGGTCCAACCAAATTATCATCACTTGCTGCTCATCAGAACTAGTCAGCAAGCTTTTCATGGTTTCTTGCCGCTTCTCCACTCCTCATTCTGCAATATAAACTGTGTAAGAGTTTTCTTGCTAATTAGCCATGTCTTGTGGCTCTAATCTTTCAACTAATAACTCCAGTAATTAAAGTTCTGGAATCTTTAATACAGTAAGTCAGTCATTCGTCCACTTCAGTTTCCTGACTGCCCTTCTGAAACTCTGCCCCCCTCCCCCCCCAATTATCACAGGGGCACGCTTGATAACAGATGGCTCCTGCCACGATATGATTTCTTGGCTGTCTCTGAGTTTCACATACCCACAGGATCAGTGGAGATGCTCTCAGTCAATGACTGACGGTGAAAATGTGGGGCGTGGATGCAGGCCTCTGTCACTGCGTTTCCACGCTGGCTATCAGAAAGGTAACCAGTTCCCTTTAGATGGTTTTCTTAGATTTTTCACATACCTGCTCTCCTTGAGGTCTTGAAAGCAAGAATCTACAGTTTTGAGTCTTAAGCTTCTTTTTGAACGAGCAAAACGCATATAATTGATAACTTCATTTTGATGGTGCTCATTTAGGCCCAACTCTGCCTGGAAGAGAAAGAATGATCTGTTAATCTTGAAGATGTATTAAAGGGGCCAACAATGAAAATATACAGGATGCCCTATGGTAGAAACTAGCTGGCCACCAGTTCCGTTCCCTTCTTCCTGGTACACAGCCATCCACTGGAGGACACCTCCCAGCCCCCCCTTGTCTCAGTAACTGATGTGAGCAGAAGATATATGGGTTATTTGCAGAGCCGGGGTCATGAGACCGGGGTGGGCCTTTGCCACAGCCTGTTCCTGAGATCTGGAGGAGGTGACTTGGCTGAACCAAATTCAGAACAGCTCCACCCTAGGGGTGAGAGGAGTAGCACAAAGAAAGGGATCTGTACCCCTCACTGAATTCGGGGAGTAGCACTGACCCACTCACCTACCTAAGAAAGGTTAGATGACTGATGATGAGTGAAAAAGACTTCTGTATTCTTTAAGCCTCGGTTTTGGGTTTGTTTTTGAATCTGCTACAACTTAAGTTCACTCCACTTAATACAACTTGCTTTTGAATAACCATTAACTGGCCTTTATTTTAAGCCATTTGAGAGCCTGATAACTATTAGTTAGAAATTAAAAATGTTCTTTCTCATTCTGTAGATACACTGAAAAGAAGAAAACTACAGCAGCTAATAGAGGGAACTAAGTCAGAATTATCTTTACATTAAGAATAACAATCACATCAAAAACAGTGGGGGGAGGGCAATGCACTGGACTTTGGTGATGGCACATGGGTGATTTGGTGATGGGAAGCCCAAGGGGATTGCAACTGAGATGGGAAAAAACACAAAATGATGTAAAACTAAACTATTATATTATTAAAAAATAAATAAATAAAATACTGAGACAAAGCAAAAAAAAAAAGAATAACAATCGCTCACAACCTTCCTATAGATGAAGGCCTGACTTTCAGGCCTCCTGTGCAGGCTTAGCTCTAGCACAGCACAGAGGCCTGCCTCGGACACTGTGTGGCCTCACCAAGTATTTCTTCTCTGATAGTGTTTTTAACTATGGTTAGATGTTAAAATTTAAAAATCTAAGAATAAACCAAGATATCATGATGCTCTTTAGTGTTTATTCATCTTGTAGATTAATATTTCAAAATAACCGGTTGAGGTATTCTGCCCAATGTGAACAGACATATCTGAGGTATGCAACTTAAATTCCATGACTATCTTATTTGATTAATCTGATAATTAGGGGCTAGGCAATATGAAAGGAAAGATTTCCTTATGTCTTAGCTTACACTGATTATTAGTCAACTCCCTGAACTAACGTCAAACATTAGAAATAATAGTAATGATGACAACGGTTAAGAGTCACTCAGAGGTTTAAAGTGCTGGGAATAATCTCCTTTAATCCTCAATGCAACTCTATGAATAAGGTAAGATCATTCCCACTACACAGATGAAAAGCTAAAGTAATTTTTTTCTAAAACCACTGAAATTGTAAGTGGTACATGGGGATTTGAACCAGATAATCTAACTCCAGCGCCCACACTTAACCCTGCTGTTTAAAGTCTTTTTTGGAATATGGCAGAATTTAAATGACTAAAAGAACATGTACATGATAGTGTTGCAAATGTATTTGAATTGTGACTGCAAGACAGATTAGCATTGGGCATTAAAAAAACAACTGAACAATTCCATTAGAAGTGACATTAGCTTTATGGTTATATCCTTACAGGAAAGAACATCTCACGACTGAGAAATGCCTAAAACCATGGCACAATGCTAAAAAAAATAAAGGCCACAAACAGAAATTCTCATTCTTCACTGTTTAAAGTAATATATCTATACTTTCCAGCCCTCCAAACTCCTCAAACTGACCCTGTTTCCTAGGACTCTACTGTAAATAACAGCTCTGAAGTGTAACATTTCCTGGTTCTGTTTTTGCTCTTGTTATCCTGATCCTACCCTAAAAGTACTTCTCCATTCCTACCCAAGAATCCAAATCCTGCCCAGTGGTATGCTGGTAAATGTTTAACAGGTTGGGGGTGGGAGTTTGAAGCTCTGGCTGTAGCCCTTGCTAATTTTTATGGTAGAAATGCTTCCGCCAAAACTGATTTCCAGGAGCCAATGTAACATCGCTGAGCAGAGGTGAGAAGCAGTGACCACAATGGCTCTGACTAGCCAGTCTAAGGGCGCCCCAGGACACCCTTCCGGGCCAAACCTGATTTACAGACCTGGTGAAGCCTCCCAACAGACTCTCCATAACTTTAGTTATGGGGTCATAACCCTTCCTCCAAAAACTAGTATACAGCATTTTTGCTACTTACTAGGTACCAGTACAGCCTGAGTACTACCTCATACTAGTTTTTTGTTGTCAGTGTTGTATCTCCAACTAGACTTTTAGCTCCCAGCGGCATGAACCATTTCTTAAGCCACACTTATATAATGCCTTGTGCAGCTGGTCAATTCATATCTGCTAATTATTTGTCTTTCTGTCAAGAAGAGCAAAGACTATCCTAAGACCAAGAAGTTAGTCAAACTGAGAAAGAATATCTTTAAGACTAAAGACAGAGAAGTTCCTTTAAAGTGGATGCGAGTGTAGAAACGGAGCAGAAGTGGGCAGTTAAGTTGAATAGGATACATAGGGCCGACCAGGAGGGGGTGTTCATAAACCATTGCTTCCCGATACAAACCTGTATATGATACATGCACAGGTCAAGTCATTAGCAAGAAAAAGGACTAGGCTGATGTGTGATATAAATGGGCACAGCATTGGACTAAAAAGCAAGTCTAGTTATTCAACTGTTACCAAGTCATGTAAGTTCATTGACACCATCTATTAGAGAGGTAGATATGATGGGCTCTAAAATATTTCAATTCAATGGGACCTATTTAAAACATGAAATCAAAATTTAATTTTTTTTTAAAATATCTTGTTGATAATAAAAAGAACTGAAAACACTAGGGAAGAATCCTACCAAAGCACTGTCAAGCTAGTGTCTTGAGATTCTGCCATAAAGTGAAGGAGAGCGAAGGTATCAAAAATAGTTTCTTCTTTCTGACTATGCCCCCCAAATTCATACACTGTGATAAATATAAGAAAATGAAATAAAAAAGGAACTGCCTAGTAATAAAAAAGGAACTGCCTAATATTTTAAAAGGCACTGTACTACTTTATATGCATTATCTCATTTATCATTTTAACACTATCACAATTACTATCTGCAACTTACTTAAGAACCTGAGCCAAAGACCTAGCTGTTAAGTAAATTACAGGAAGACAGAACAGAAACCATGTCAATTTTTTGGTGACATCACTATGACTAGTTTTGCAACTTGTTTTTGATCTTTAATAGAAGTCAAGAGAATGAGTAGGGCAACTTCTAAGCTCAAGGAGAGACGGGGTCAGTCTCAGTAGTGAGAGAGAACCTGGAGCATAATGCGGAATTCTGACTGCCAGGGTACTTGGTAGTCCATTTCAGTGGTGTCCCCAAATCCTGGTTTCGTTCCTTTTCTGAAAACTTCCATACTGTGCAGTATTCTAAGTAAAAATGTTATTTATGTTGGTATTGCTATATCACTGTGAAAGATTAAGCGATGTGTTTTCAGCATACAAGGAAAGCAGGCCTTTTGGAGAGAGGTGTGTGTGCGTGCATGTGTGTGTATGTGTATGTATATAAAAACTCTTGGGAGTCACAAGGATTACAACTGAGATGGAAAAAGTCACAAAATGATGTAAAAATAAACTATTATATTAAAAAAAACTATAGTGATCAAAACAGTATGGTATTGGAATTAAAACAGACACCTAGACCAATGGACTAGAATTTAGAGTCCTGACTTGCATGATCAGTAAATCTTAACATGGGTGACTCACTGCTCAGCTCCACTATATATTCTGAACCTGTAAATATACACCACAAATTGCCTGAAAAATATGTGTATGTTCTGCCAGTTTATAAGTTAAACTGTTAAAACAAATGCTTTGCCTTCTCTTAAACAAACAAACAACAACAACAACAACAAACTCTTGGGAGTATTTGGAATCCAATGAGAATCTGCCCTGCGCCTTCTACTGGCAGCCGGTGCCGCCCAGCTCTCCCTCACCAGCCACCAGCGATGAGAGACTTGGCCAGGGCATCCCTGGCAGGGTTGTGAGGGATGAAGTGATGTGGCCTTCTCCTAGTGTGGCCCGCTTCAAGGGAAGGGCGTCACCTAGGACTATCCCGGAGGGGCTTCAGCTAGAGTTAACGAAGCTTCGGACACCCGACTGGGCCTCGGGGAGGCCTAGGAGCGGACGCACACCCACTGCAGGCCACGCCATCACTCCAGCCACCCCGCTCCGCATCTCTAGTCCCGGCCACCGCCCTCTGCTCGACGAGATGCGGCGCCAGAGGGGCGGCTACTCACCATGGTGGAGGGCGGGAGTCAGCAGCCTAGAGGAGCAGGAGAGACCGGGTGGAGCCTCGCCGAAGCCGGGGTCGTTGAGGGTGGCTGGATCTTAGAAGATGAGGAGGGCGGGCCGGTTGTTTAGAAGCCTCTGGTTGCTAATGGGAACGGAAACACGTGACCCCGAGTGAGCGCTTTTATTGGTCTTTACGATCACGCGACAGGAAGTTCTCTGCCGCCAACCGACAGCCGCATGCGCATTGGCTTCCAAGGTCAGGAAGTCCCACCCTTCTGAGCCACGCAGACTTTGGCGGGAGGGCCGGGCCACCGTTGTCAATGGCAACAGAGGGGGCGGACGCCTGGGGTCTCTTAGCGCCTGGGAGCGGCGTTGCTTTGGGGTCGGCGTTTGGGTGAAGGGCTTGATCATCTCTCTTCACTGGTATCCGCTACTGACTCCTCCTTTTCGGAGACGTCGTGGGGCGTCAGACACGTGATCAGGCGTTATTGCTTTCCTCTCCAGGAGTTCCTATCTGGCCCGGGAAAGCAGGCATCACCAGCGCTGCCAGGTTCCTGGGCAGAACATAGAACACGTCTTTGAACCGTCTCTGTACCCCGCCATTGTGTTTGTTCGTATATGATAAAAATAATCTAATTTATACCGCTGCCTTTAAAAAAAAATTTTTTTTTTTGAGTGACAACGGAGTTGGTGAAAATCGGTATTCAAATTATTAGGCCTAGAATCACCAGGAAAACTTATTCAACAAATGCTGTCCTGGCCTCACCCTCATCAACTCTAAATCACAAAATCTAGATAGAGTCCTTGGGATGTGCAGTTTTCACCCACTGTCCAGGAGTGATCATTGTTTTAGGAGAGGCAAAAAGTGTAGGGTATGAGATATATTTTTGCCAGTGTCAGGGGCTTGTGAGTGGGTGAATGAAAGCTACTGGGTAGTCATAGGCCTTTGGGTGGATATTTCCTCAGGCTTAGAGGACAAACGAGCCATATGCAATTACTGAAGAGGCCATGAGTAAGCTCGAAAGTGTGTGGGGAAACAAGATGGCTCAGAGGGGCTGTGCTGAGAAGCTAGAACTTAAAACCCAGAAGAGGGTATTTGGCATTAGCCCTGACTCATGAATAGATAGTAATGCTTTTTTTTTGGGGGGGGGGGTTTTATGTTGAATTTGGTCTCTACACTTGAAATGGATCATAATTTGGATGTAAAATTCTAGAAAGGATTTTAGATACCTGGTTCCAATTGCTTACTCCATGGGTGAAGAGATGGAGCCAAAGTTAATGTGACTTCCAAGACTTCAGAACTAGGTGGGGGCATCTGTAGCTTGAGGCTGTGATGAAACTAAAACAAATAATGTTTTCAAGAGCAAAACCAGAAAGCAGGTGTTATCTATTCTGGTATGGAAGTGTTATTTCATTCTGGTTTCAAGAATTAAATTTTTCTTTTCATTTGTCACCACATTTATTGTAGCAATGTTAGTAACATTGTATACCAAATAACGTACAAAGCTTAGGAGTTGTCTCATAAACTAAGCTCAGTACTTTAAAAAATAAACTTGAAACTTTCAGTGGTAGAGCAAAGTGGTAGCAGGTAAATTCTGTAAAATTAAGTTAACTTACAAAGGGAAAAAGGTGCAGGAATGAAAACATGTTGGTTAGTTAAGTGGTCAAATGGTCAAAGGGAAATAATTAAAACATAATTTTCAATTCAGACAAAATGAGAACTAGAAGGAAACTTTCAGATGGGAAAAGACAACTCAGGGAAGTTAAGGGTCTTGTCAAGTAACAGGTAGCAAAACCAGATCTGAAATCCAAATTTCATGATTGCTGGCAAGTTTTTCACCATTTAACACACGTAAATGAAAGCAATAGGGTTTGCTCTCCTAAATTTATGCCCACCCCTCCAAAGATAAGGCCCCTTACCCTCATTTTAGGTAGGGAAGCTTAGAAAATGTCCCATGATGTTGAAAAGCAGGGAGGGGAGAGTTTTCCAGTTTGGGTGAGGTTTGACACAGTCTTAAGTCACCATCAGGAGTCCTTTGCTTGATGATCCAGGGATGACAGGCAAGCACTTGCCTGTGGAGGGGTCTCAATCATAAGGAGACATGAACAGCTGACAAATTTCCTCTGTGTGTAATCTGGAGCACTTCCAGACATGGGACGATGGTCGTGGGGCACTGGCTTGACTGTGCCCCACTTCTGTTGGCCTCCCAGTATCATCAGGACAGAATCTCTCTCCCTGCAAGCTCCTGCAAGACTGACTGTTCTCACTCCATCCACCTCATAACCTCCCTCCAAGCTCAATTAAATATCTACTTTCCCATCCATTTTTCACCTTTCTGTTCAGTGTTGATTTGACAATAATGATAATTTGCAGTATTCAGTGCTGATTATGAGCTAGACAAAGTCTATTCCAATAAGTAAATTTCACAATCCTTGCTTCTATCTTACAAGAGAGAAGTTCACATAAAGATAAGGTCACTTTACTTGTAGAGAAGTTCACATGTAGAGAAAGTGTTGTGTATGCAAGATGAAGGAATTTCATACACTTACATGACACTCAAGCAATGGTGTTCATGAGTTCGTACCTCTGTTTTCCCAGCACAAATCCTGTTCTTGCCAAGGGTTATTAGTGCAGGGAGACCAAAGGAGGGGGTGGTCAATGCAAATATTTATGAGTATGTTGTGGCCTGGGGATTTTTAAAGTTATTCTCTAAAGCTTCATCAGCAAGTTCTATTAATTTAAAATTCTATTTTAATCTAAAATCTTCTCTACCAAGGATGTTATAATATCACTGTTAGCTAATCTACCCAGCTGAGTTCAATGTTGTTACATAAGCTGTCTAAATAGTGTCAGCAAATATGAACATGTATTTTTGATCTTAAATTGATGAATTTGGCTCATGAAAAGGCAGAACTTGTGCTTCGGGTTGTTTACTAGCTTGGGTTGATTACCAAAACAAACAGTTCGAGCTGTGAGGGAGAACAGCTCCACTCACCCAGCCCTAATAGTGAGCTGCTCAGTTTTGCTTTTCTTTTTTAAATGGCTCTGACAATTTTGTCTAAATTTGGAAGGATTGAATGGGAGGCCTACAAAGGAATCCATTGTATATCTTTTAGCATAGTTCAACACAAAGAAGGAAATACTTTCAATCTAAGCATCTTTCAAATTATTGGAAAATGAGGCTGTGGTGTGTGTCCAAATTCCTGGCCATTAACACTCGAACCAATTTCAGGATGTTTTCACTCTAAACAAGCAAACAAGGAATGAGAAGGTGACCATGGTCTTCTGAGCAGTGATGACAGATGTCCGATCTCTACCCTGTACCTCCTCTTCCCCACTCCCTGCATTGTGCGTAAGTTTCTGTGGCAAAATCTGTGGGGAGAAGTGGAGGAATTCAGTAAGCCCCAGACTCCTGTACTCTATAGATCTTTGGATGAAGGGGCTGCAGGGAGAGGGAGTAGGATGAAGCTTTACTTAAGGAAAAAGAGGAAGTAATAAAATGGCTAAGTAAAAGACAACATAGTTGCTACACAGAAAAGGCTAAAATCTTGAAGGTTATATGGGAAAAGAAAGTCTGAGAAAACCTTGAACTGGGAGTATGTGGCAAATGGTTAGGAGAAAATCATTTCATGAGCTTTTCTCGAAGAAGGCAATCTTTGGAGTATGTCTACTTGCATGTAGTTCTACCAAGGCTTTTCCAACTTCCTGACTCTGCATTTAAATGAGAAGCAGTCAAGACTTAAAGGAAAGAACCCAGGATCGAAAGTCTGTACAGGAGCTATGGCATTTGATTGGTTCTCTAGCAGGCAAGAGGCTATTCTTCAGTTCTGCGATTTGCTTCCATTTGGTTTCAAAATGCTTAAGTGACCAGTAGAGTATTGGCAAGTACTGACCATTAGATTAGTGAAATCGCTATATGCATAGTAAAGGAGGTCAAGGAAGTGGTTCACCATAAAATACTACAACCCCTTTTAAGATTGTGTGGACAATGGTAATTTCTTAGCCCAAACAATAGATTAGTTTCACTGATCAATCTCCATACAGTAAAGCACCCCAAAGGAAACAAACATCAAAACATTGAGAAGTTTCGTCTACCTTGAAAAATGTCAGGAACATTTACTTTCTGTAAAGTGCCAGAAAAATACATTATAAATAAGACGACCAGCTCTGAATCCTTGTTCCACACTCCTATGTAAACACACACATTTGAGTTAAATCACCAGCTTCATCCTTGTGTTTGTGGAAAACAGGAAACACCAGAGACACTGTGGGGCAAGAAAAATTAAGATGGGATTTGTCCTTCCCCAACATGACCTTATAACCAAGTCAAGGGAGAGGTCAAACTTGTAGAACATCTCAAAGCAGACAGCAGGTTGTAAGGGAGCTCAGAGAAGGTAAAGGTCACATCTAGGGAAGACAGAGAGGCAACTTTAAGAGAACCTTCCAGAAGCACTGGAATTTGGGTTAAATCTTAAGAGGTATGTGGGTGATGTTTGTGGAGGAGAGAAGATAGTCCTGAGCAAGGAACCAGTTTTCAGCAAGGGAGGCGGTGGGATGTTCAGAGACATACATTTAGGGTTGTAGCTATTTCTGAGATCAGATGACCAAGGGAGAGTTGCCAGGATGAGGCATACACGTGTCACTTAGTCAGGAACGTGGGCTTCCTAGCTAAGCGACCTTCAGTAAATGTCTACCTGATGACCTTCAGTGTAAAGGCACCAAACATGTTTCTGCTTAGACAAATGGAAAACAGACACATTTTCTCAGGATATCTTCCCTACAAGATGGCGCTATGAAGACGGGAAGGTCTGAATGGAATGCAGGGTGAGCAGGGTATGTGAGTGGGAGTCTTCTCAGTGGGTTGCTGGTAGAGAATAAAAGCAAAAGGAAATAACACCTTTAGTCAGCTTATACATGTCTTTCTTCTCCACTGCTACATTTCTGGCTCCTTGAAAAGAAAGCTGTATTATACCATCAACCTGGGCAATGCTTGCAGTACTGAATCAAAGATAAGCAGCAATAGCTCAATAAACATGTATGAGGACCTGCTGGGTTCCAGACACAGTGTTTGTAGTTGTTTTGACCCTGGGCACACCTTTTCTTGGGTGGTGTAAC